GCCAGCGCCTGAAGCAGCTGGACCTCCCGTACACGGCCCTCATCTCCTCCACCATGACCCGCGCCCTCGAGACGGCCAAGCTGATTCACAAACACGTGCCGGACCTGACCCACCTCACCGACGACAGCCTCCGCGAGGGGGCGCCCATCCCACCAGAGCCGCCCATCGGCAGCTGGCGACCAGAGCCCAAGGTTGGTGGGACCAAATGTTTCTATCTCATTTGCCTTGTTTTTTTAACCATTTAATCTAATTATGTTTCTTTTTCATTTGCCTTGTTGTTTCTGGACTGTTGATATTCTATGTTCTCACATTTCAATACACACGTGTCTGCCCAACAACTTACAGCAACCCCCGCGGGAAGCAACCCTTGGGAAGCAACTTTTGGTTGCTGTACGGCCGAGGTTGCTACCTGACTGGATTTGTCACTTCCAATATTTATGATGATGCTTACTGAGTACCACAAATACAAACACAGTCTGCTTGTGGGTAGTGGCTTGTGATCCACATTGTAAAGTGCTGTGCTTTGGAACTGGAGATCAGTGTGTGTGTGTGTGTGGTTGAAGGTTTGAAAGGTGTGTGTGTGTGTGTGTGTGGTTGAAGGTTTGGAAGGTGTGTGTGTGTGTGTGTGTGGTTGAAGGTTTGGAAGGGGAATGACAAGAAAGAAGAGACCACTATGTTGTGCTTTGTACAAATTTGATTTTTTGACCTGTCTTGAAAGAACTGACAACTGTATCAATGTGCAAAGTGCTTTGAGGCAGGGTGTGAAAGTTACGGTAACGTTTGTAGCTGGCTAGTTTTTGTTCCTTATTTGTTGTGTTACTTTTGTTGTTCACAAAAGCTTCATCATTTACCGTCTGTTCAGCAGTTTTTCCAGGATGGAGCCCGCATTGAAAGTGCCTTCAGGAAGTATTTTTACCGCGCTGACCCCAGTCAGAAGGAGGATTCGTATGAGATCATTGTATGTCATGCAAATGTTATACGATATTTCATATGCAGGTAAAGTATAAGGGACTTTTGTTTGTAACTCTTGTTGATCCCAATGCTGTTATTTTGGAATTTGTCTTGTTTCCTCCCAGTTTGTTGAGTTTGGGCAGTTTGATTGTTTTCTACTCTCAAAGCAGTTGAAGTTATTAGAAATTGGAGTCTTTGAATACCAAGATGAATTTTGGTAGTTATCCAAGATATAATTATATGATAATATATATATATATTGTTTTCCAAATGGAAGATGAGATCTGTGTGTTTGTTTGTTGTGCGCTCTGACTGTGCTGGTTGGGGCCTAAAGGGACGGTGAAGGGACCGTAATGTGGGGGTGGAAGGACTGGTAGAGCAAACTTTTCACCGGAGAGAGTGAGTGGGAACAAGCAGAGAGTGAGTGGGAACGAGTAGAGAGTGAGTGGGAACGAGTAGAGAGTGAGTGGGAACGAGTAGAGAGTGAGTGGGAACGAGTAGAGAGTGAGTGGGAACGAGTCACTCAGGGTCAGATCGTGTGAAGCAAGTTACAGCAACAATAGGTTGTGTCATTCTCACATTGGTCGTGAAATGTTTGATTCATTCCACAAGTTTACATTTTGCCACAGTTATATATTTTTGGATTTTTGGTTTTTCAACTAAATTTAAATTGTTTATAGTTTGTGAAATGTTTTTGATTCCAAGTTTGGTTACCTATTTGGAGACTATTTTCACACAATGCTACATCCAAAAGTCTGGTCGCATGTACAACAGACATTTTATTCTTTCAGGGCTCTTCAGTTTCCAGCAGAGGGTTGGCTGCGGCTGTCCCTGGCTCACGGCAGTTTAACTCGCGTGGTGATTCGACCGTCGGGACGCGTGTCTGTCCAGGCCATGGGGGACCACGGCTTTATGCCGCCCGAGCAAATTTCTTACTCTTAATGAACGTGGTGTTAGGGTCAAGGTCAGGGTCACAGGCTGTAGGATGTTGATGCGCACATTCTGCAGCTTGTCGTGATATTGTTGTACAACGAACCTAATGGTCCAACACTTGAGCGGTTTGTTAGCTTTTGGATGAGTATGTACCGTAGAACATGGTTCCACTAAAGCTTACAGTTACCTTTCTGGTACACACCCAAGTGGAGAATGTTCTGATAGGAAACGTAGAGCATACCGAGGGAAGGATGGTGGTGAGCTGGAGAATTGTCGTCACATTTTACACGAAGCAGCAGGGACTGGTGTGTCTTTCTCCACATACATTCGGGGATCCGTAGTCATAACTGGAATCTGACAGAAGTAAGGATTCTAGAGTTGTCACATGGAATCTGACAGAAGTAAGGATTATAGAGTTGTCACGTGGAATCCAACAGAAGTAAGGATTCTAGAGTTGTCACGTGGAATCCAACAGAAGTAAGGATTCTAGAGTTGTCACGTGGTTGATGGGAACCGTCACTGGCTTGTCAGCGCGTGTTGTGGTCAGTCGGGCTCCGACATTTGCTCAGTGACGGTGTTTGACTTCTGGTCTCGTCCCACCTGGTTTGGGGGGCTGGGCATTCTATGCACTCACTGACTTTACTGAATGCAGCTTTACAGACTGACTGACTTTATCAAATTGTCCCGTGCGATTGTGTGAAAATAGTTACTTGAAAAGTTTGCTGTTTGCTTTTTCAAACTTTCTGTATTGCTTCACCGCTGTTGTTTCATTTTGTTTTCTTTGCAAAAGTTTTTTTTTCTTTCTGTAATGTTATTTTGTTAATCAGTACGACTCACAAATGTTGTAATTTCCACCAACAAATATTTCAGAACTTGTTCCCAGATAGTCGATCAAACTGTGCTTTCAGAAAATTAAAGTTAAAGTGGGAATTGCGATCTTAGGCAAACTTTGGCAGCATTTTGATAAAGTTGAGATAACACACTGTAGATTTTGTACGTGGAAGAAAGATACGGAAAGCTTCTGGTTTTCCTTGTATGAATCAGAGCAACTTGTGTGCCGGTATTTAAGTGTGACTGTAGAGCGAAATGCTCGTAGCTAAAGAGATTTGAAAACAACAAGTGTGACTGTTGGTTTGTGAGTTGCCTGTCATATCTGGTTCCAGTGGTGCCAGTCGTTGTCATAAGGTTTGCAAGAAATGATTTCTTTCTAGAATGGTCTCAACAGTCTCAGTCTGTGGCCTCCAAGTTCAAGGTTTGAATGAGGTTGGGGTTAAAACCATTTTTATTATTCTTCCCCTAGCTGAAAAAAATACACTTTTTTATTCAGAAGAGTGCAAATAATAATTATACAGTATAAGTATAAGGCTAACTCAAATGTTGAGAAGAGCTGATTTTATTGAATGCAGTTTTACAGAATGAGAAAAATGTGAAGAAAATTACTTTGCCAGCTCAATCATTATCATAGTGGTGATTTTCTAAAAGTAATTGGTTATAAAAACATGTATGAACTTTTATGCGTTCAGATGTTTGTGTATGGTATGGTTTTCTTTGTGACTTTGTGCAACTTTGATCCTTCTTCATGAAGGGTTTTATGTACTTGGGGGAAACAGGCCCCCTTGTTGTACTTGGGAGTGTCCCTGAGAGTCAGACTCTCCTGTAGTAGATGACGACACCGTTGAAAGTGACAGAGAGAGCATTTGACTGGTGGTGTAGTAGTGAGCCCCACTGGGGAATTCTTGGAAGCTTTGGTGGTGTTTATCACAGGTTGTCATTGGGAATGTTCTGCCATCAAGTCGTAAAGTCGCCATTTCGCTCTTTTGTTCTGTCGTGTCATTTTCTGCAGCTGTCATGTTCTGTCATGTCTATCGTGTCGTGTCATGTGATGTCATGTCGTGTCATGTTCTGTCATGTCTATGGTGTCATGTCATGTCATGTCATGTCGTATACACCAGCAGTGGCTTTGCATGATGAATGATGATGTCTTTGCCGCGGCTTGGCCATGTTGACAGAAATAGCCTACCTTTTCTACTTTTTACAACTGCCATCTTATATGATCTCTATCTTTTTCTACTATAA